TATATACATATATATATATATTGTATGTATGGAAATGGGCGGTGCTTTGATTGTCGAAAATTCAACGTGACCCACTTTCCATCCACTGTAATTACTACTTCTGCGGTTGGCACCACATTCTGCCTGCCTTTGTGTGAAGTTTCACTTGACATTTATCACTGTGGTGTGATTGATTATCTGATGATCAGTTTTTACTGAACTGAACTCACAGGCGCACCGTCCTGGTCCAGAGCCACACGTTTGCTGTCTTAGAATTTTGCTGTTTCCTTAGCACAGTTTTCCAGAATGGGAGTGTGTGCGCTTGTGTACGTGTGTGTGTGTGTGTGTTTGAGTGTGTGTGCCAGCAGCACAAAAAGAGAAATCAAAACTCAGGGGCAATGAGTGTATTTGGCCCAGTCTCCTCTCAGCAGGGAGGGAGGTTGATGACTGTTGGACACAAACATGTTCATAACTGACAGGAACCCTGCTGCTGCTGCTGCTGCTGCTGCTGCTGCTGCTGCTGCTTTAACGGCCTGTTTTCCTATTGTTGAGCCTGTAGTCAGTGCAGGCCTTGTAGTTATTGTGTTAGTGTCAAATTAAAGCATAACCTGCAAAACAATCCCAGACATTTGGTGATAGATCAGGATACCATGAAAATAAACCCCCCCCCCACCCCCCCTGTTGAGCTCCTCTTCTTGGAATGTTGATGGAATTGATTCAAAAATCTTACTCTGGATTTTATAGCCTTGCATATTATAACTGAGAATAAAAAAAAAGAAGGGCTATGCTGTACAAATTCTCATATTTCTCTTTTTATCACCTTAGTGAATTATAGAAGTTAGAGGCTTGGAAAAATGCAGTGTTTGTCCTTTATATGTCATGTTATTTTAGGAATTGTTTGTCTGTTTCATCAGAACAAAAAATAGCAGAAGAAGACAGAGTCAAAAAGATAAAGATTAGAATGAAAACATCTATTTAAACAGTTGATACAAGTTTATAGACACTTTTATTTTATATGTTAGCCTTGATTTCCCAAAGAATACTTTCCCAGGGATAAATACATCTCTCTCCCTTTCTTGCCCCCTCGGCAACATATAGCTAGAAGGACTAAAAGTCACAAAATTGCTACTTTTGCCAATACGTTTCAAATGTTAGCCTCAACATAGCCTAGCCTTTATCACAACCACAGCAGAAATGGCTAAAAGCTTTAAAAAAGTTAGCTTGCAGTAAACAAAACATTAGCCTGAAACTGTTAAAATGCATCTACCGTATTAGAGATTTTAAGATAAGTTAATTAAAAAACACAGCAAGTTGCCATGGTGTTAGCAAGAAGTTTCGGACCATAATCCTAGTGCAGTAGTGGGCCGAAATTATAGCAATGGAAATGGTACAATTTTATGAATGTTACAGTAGTGGGCCGAAATTATAGTTGAAATGGTACAATTTTATGAATGTCACTCGATACTAGACTAAAGAAAAAAAGGACGTTAGCCATAACGTGGCCGTGTGAAAGGACACACTTCTATTCTTAAAAGACAGTATTCTACATTTAGCTGTAAATCCTATTTGAAGACGATACAAATCAAAATATAACTTGCGCTATAAACAATCAGAATTTATTGTATAGTTTGTGATTGAAATACACACTGTGTTTAATTTCCCATCATAAAATCACTGGTACAGTATGTCATGTAATACCCTTCATTTAGTAAGTGCCGTCTCTGCAATAAAAACTATTTCAACAATGCATTTTGGCAGGAAGACACTTGTTGGCATTAATGTCTCAACACGCCTTAAATAATCTCCACCCGAAACTACACTCTGTACATACGTGTATGTGTTCAACACGGAGGAAGGAAACAGAAGCTTTGACATTGTTTTTTAAAAAAATCAAACCCTCAGAGGCTCAAAGGCTGTGACCTGTGGACCACAGTCTATAACAGAACTTCACTCTGTCAGCTTTTACTGCTGTATTTTATAAGAGGAATTTGTGAGTGATTTTTGTAAACACGGCCATGTTTTAGGATCAAGATAAAGCCGTGTAGCGTCACCTGGATTATCTTCCAATGATTTCTTTATTGATTTCTTGGATGTTTGTTACACATTTAATCTTTTTTTTTTGTTTTTTTTTTCCTAAAAAAATGTTGTTTGATTTAAGCACCAGTGACCCGGGGCAGCTTGTCAGGTCATTTTTGTGACCGCTCTAGTCAGCTGTTCTGTACCACAACAAAAGATAAATATAAACCAGAACCAGCCAGATTCAACTCGCCTTAACTCCAAGCCTTTATTGTAATCAATAAACCACATGATGGTGTAATAAAATAATAAAACAGAAACGTATCATTTTGCTATTTTGTTATTGTCATCTATTAAACTTCACTGAGCAGAGATACAAAAAATAGCACTTTGAAATCCATAGGTCACAGTATGGGGGGGGGGTCTTAGATAAATAGATGGTTTACTGGCAGGACAGTTGTGGTCAAAACTAGGCCACACTAAAAACTAAGTAGCCAACAACTCCTGTGTCCACTGTTAAACACGGGGAGCACATAAAGAAAAAAAACTCCCATGAAAACAACCTCTCAAGTCCTTTGAACTTATCCCTGCTGCGCGCTCTGTGGTTATTACGGTAAAAAGGCAGCTCGAGGGGGGCGGGCTCTCAGCTCTCCATGTGCGTCGCGTTTTGATTGACATGGCGGAGTCTCCCAGTACGCGTCGCGCCGCGCCAGCAGACAGGAGAGCAGAGAGCCGAGCCTGGGAATAAAAACACGTCTGTCTGAAGATTCTTTTATTGCAGCGAGGTGAGTTTTTTTTTCTTTTCTTCCTTTAGATTAAAAAAGAAAACCCCAAACACTTTTGTCACGGTAGCACACGACAACACCGACCGGGATTTGGGAAAAGAGGAAGGAGTCGATGGTGGGAAAAGTTTTTTAGAAGTGCGTGTGTAAGAGTTTGGAGAGCTGACGCCGGCAGTCTGGGCCACTTGGCCAGCGCTGAGGGAAAATGAAAACGGCTTCACCGAGGAGAAGCAGAAGAAAAAGGTGGAGGTGGTGAGGTGGGAATCGAAACTTTCCCCCCAATCTGACGCACTACAGTCTGAGGGAATAAAAACGCTGTAATCGTGTTGTACGCGTCGGCCTGTGTGCCTTTCTGGAAACTGGTTTCTTCTTCTTCCCCTCTTCCTCCTTCTCCTCCTCATTTTTTTTCTTCTACGTGGTCCCATTTCTTGGCTTTTCCCCGAGAAAAGTGCGTTCTTAATCGGCAGCGTCTTCGGATGGAGTGAGTGCGCAACAGGAGGAGGAAAACTTCTCTATTTTTTTTTTTTTTTGGTGTTGGTTCCTGCGACGTGTCGCGCTTTTACGCACTGGTAAATGAGAGAAAAACAGAGGAAGTCCGAGGAAATGAGTGTTTCTCATGTAAAAAGTTGGAAAATGTAGTTGCAGTAGGAAGATGCTGATGCATACAGATTTGACACGGAGCCTGTTGCGAAATCAGTGTATGTGGGAGAAGTGTTGTTTTTGACGCACTGGAACAGTTGGATTTCAGAGGTTTTATGATGACTTTCCACAGGGTCTGCAGGAAAAAAAGGTCTTTGGAGAAAAGGCAGGAAAAAATCCCAACTCCAGCATATCCTAGCATTCCTTCCAGCCAGTCTCTCTCCCTCTCTCCCTCTCCCCCCCCCCCCCCCCCCT